GTGTTGGTGGTGGTGCCTAAGGAGGGGAACCCAAAGTCGCTCTGGGTAGGCAGCAAGACCAGGGCGAAAGAACTCTAGAAGCCTGAAGAAAGGCAGGACGTGAGCCCAGCCCAGCGCCAAGGCCAGTCAGTGCCTGAGTTGGGAAATCTCGAGAGGCAGGAAGGCCTGTCTGAAATCCCGAGGGTGCGGAGGAAAGATGTGGGCTGGGTCTGCGGGTGGAGTTGAGGGCAAGGAAGGGGCGGTGGGCCCCCGGCAACTTGGAGGACCCCGCCGCGAGTCTAGAAGACCGGCTTCCCGCCGAACATCCTTGCACGTGCGCGCGATCTTTGGCGCGCTCTGGCGCCCCCTCGGAGGAGTGCGACGCGCCCTGCCCTCCCCCGACCCCGGGCCCAGGGCGCCAAGCACCCCAGCTCGCAGTCCCCGGGGCCCTCCCAAACCCCCTTCCCACTCCCGCTGGGCAATAGGCACTAATGAACAAAAGGCCAATTAGACGCGGGGACGCGGCTGATGAATGGACCTTTCGCTTTCAAGCGTGGCACCGCCTCGGGTTTCCTGGAGTACAGGATCACTCCAGGAGAAGCTGCCTCCCGGAGCCAGGTCACGGCTGGGGTCAGCGGGTTCTCAAAACTCCCACTTCCCCCTCGCTGCGGGTTTGGTTGGGGGAGGTAAATCCGGCGGCCGAGCCCTGGCCCTACACCAGCGGCCTCCGCAGCCCGGCCTCGCCGCACCCCGACTTCACAGGCCCCTTGCCCCCGCCCGCCCGCCCGCCCGCCCGCCGCCGCCCCGAGGCGGCACCCAAGGAAATCTAAGGTTGATTGCGAGAATAATAAAGGCCGGCCTAGAAAAATGTGCAGGTATCCCCAAAAACCGGCTGTTTTTTACCAAACTCCGGGGCGAGGGGTGCGCTGTAGGAACAATACGTGAACCCAGGGTTCTGGCGGGACACACGCGCCTAGATTGCGTGGCGTACAAAAACTGCCCCGGTGCCGGGTAGGGACGCCAGCCCTCGGGGACCTCCACCCAAACACACAGAAATGTTCTCGCGGGTCACACACAGGCTGAGGGCCTTCCCGTTGCCTGCGATCCACAACTAGAGCCGAACTCCCAGATGCGCACTCTGCCAGCGGACCCTGGCACACACGCTCCCTACAGAAAGTGCATTTCTCCACCTCCGTAGACAAGAGAGCAACGCAGCTGCCCGTCCTCGCCCCACCTCGATATAATCTCGATGCCCAGGGCAAGCCGGACACCTTGACACGCTCACACAACCCACAATGGGCAGCACTGAGCTCTTCGGCCTCGAACATACCCTTAGCACCTTCAGCACTACACATCATATCCTGACTTAAGTCCTGGCTCAGAGACACTTAATCACATCTCCGCACGAACACAACTGTTCCACGGACCTAACTCAGGCGCTCCACCTACACAAACACACGAGCCTAGCCTCTCATTCTAGGGACTTCCACCCGCTTATTCCGACTTGAAACTGCGCACGGGCGGGGAACCCAGCCCAGATGCCCCCACCGCGGAGCGGGTCCGGGGCCGAGCCGCCAGGGTCCCTCCCCAGCCGGCCTGCGCGACCGAAGACTTTGTTTCCTGCGACTCTGAGGCGGGGACGGGGAGGAGTCGAGGTTTCCAGAGCCGAGCGCAGGCCCGAGCCCCCTTTCTGCCAGGCCCACTTGGCGCGGCTGTCTGCCTGCCACAATCCGCCCCTAGCACAAAAGTGGCCCGGCAGGTTCCGGGCCGCCGCCAACGCTCCCGCTCCGGCTCGGCTCGGCTGCCAGGAGCAGCGACGGAGGGAGCTGAGGGCACCGGACACCCAGAAGGAAAGGCAGAACGGGGGAACCTCCCGGAGGTCCCAAGGCTTCTCCCACCCTAGGAGTTTCTGGTGCCTCGAAAAAGCCCGACCCCGACCCCTCCCGCCCCGCGCCTGCATACGGGACCCTTGGCTGCGGAGGAGTAGGACCCCTAGCAAGAAACGCACACGGAGTCCACGGATACCTGGCGGGAGAACCTAGGGTGCACACTGGCACCATACACTCCGCTTGACTTTCTCAGGGTAACGCAACCCATCCCAAATCCACTTGGCACAGGGGGCTACACGGGAAATGCCCACCAGTAATCAACAAGGGAGCAGGATGCAAACGTAACCCATTTCCCCGTTCGGGGTAACAGGCGGGACACAAGGCTACACTCGTGCACTTCCGCCATGTGCAGGGAAAAACGCAGGACCTGCCCCTCGATGCCCGTAGAGCCCTTCCAGGGGCATCTAGGCCTGGCACCCGTATACCACGCAGGCGTACGCAGACCTGGGGCACACAGCTCCATGTACCCCAGCCCAAAGGGCTCCAGTCCCGTGTGCGCTCACTGCGGAGTGCTCACTGCAGCCGCGAGGGCCACGCGCCCCGCACCCTGCCCCGCGCCCTGTGCCCCGCGCCCAGATAGTCATCGTGGGATGGCATCTCGCAAATATTTATATTCCTCAACGCCACGGCAGCCCGCGTCCACATTAGACGCTCTAATCCTGCCACTTTAAATAGATGAATTAATAAAGCAAACGAGCGGCTAATAAGCTGACTGTCCTGCCTTTTTGAGGCGGGGGAAGGACTCGAAAGTGCGCCAAATTTGTTTGCAGTGGATCAAGGCGAGCCGCCTCTGCTTCACTTTCTTTATCTTAATTCCGACTTGAAAAGATATAATTATCTAGTTTGAACAGAGCTGCTATCAAATCCTTCTTTGGGCCGGGAAGGGGGGCGTTGGAGTGGATTGCGGCTCTCTGAGCCGCTCCGTGTAGCCGGAGATAGCGCGTAATGAAGATGTGGAGGCCTGAGATACAAAGGGCATTAACCTCATTAGCATGAAACCTTTTCTTCTTACCATTGTGGGACCCTTTCAGCCGCCTAATCCCCCCTATTTTCAAAGCTTGGTTTGTAATAAAGCTTTTAGGTTTTTTTTTTCAAAGCTAATAGTATTCTCTGATGATTTTATTGCTGTTACACTACATAGGACGTTTACCAAAAAAAAAAAGAAAAAGAAAAAAGAAAAAAATCTTGGTCACCTTCTCCCTTTTCTTGTACTTAAAAAAAGTATATAGTTTCTGCATAAATAAGCCTTTTATTAAGATGGGGATTTTTTTTTTTTTCTGGAAATGCCAGTTGGAATTTCGACATGGCTGTGCTCTGTGTTTGAGGCATTCTGCGTTTGGGGGAATGAGTGGAAGGAAAAGGTAACTTGTTTAAGAAAAAGGGAAGAGGTTCTGTGGTTCTGTAGCGGCAACTGCAACGCACTCGGGACAGCCATCCGACAGGGAGGTCTCGCTGTCAAAGCATCTGGAAGGCCAACTTCAGTTTCCAGGATACCCAGGATAGCACCTGTCCCTTTTGAAAAGCAAGCCTGGAACTCTCCTGGCAGCTTGCTTCCCCCCAGCATCGTCCTGCAAGCAAGTGTCCCCCAAAATACATACACCTTCCTAGGGCAGCCTGCGTGAAAACATGCCATGGACAGCCAGGGTTCTCCAGAGGAACCGAGACGGAGGAAAAAAGGAGAGACAGGCAGAGATAAAGAAGAAAGAAAAAAGAGAGAGAGGGGGAGAGAAACCAAGAATGAATTCTACTTTAGAAGAGAAGAGGGGAAGAAAAAAAAAAAAGAAAGAAAAATTTCCATAGTGCCCTATAGTCCCCACACGTGCACGGAATGTCTAATCTTAACTTTTCAAGGCAGGGTGTTAACAAAGCTTGTATTTTTGCCCTGCATTGTAACTTGGCCTTATCACAGTGTAAAGGGTGGGGAGATTGTCCTAAATTATGTCCAGGCGGCCCCCCTGGATCCGTGGATTAAGAGATTAAAGGAGACCACTGGGCAAGGCCTCCTCTTTCCCCTTCATATTCCTGGTATGATAATTGCTTAAACTGATTTGCACTTTCACAAAAGCTCGCAGGACGCTTTGTAGCTTGAACAGAACAGACGAGGTTTCTCTATCAATGGAAATAAAACTGATTAATGCAGCCTATCAGGATAAGAAGCAAATGAAGCATGCAAAAACAACCTCGTACCCCCAGAAGGGGGAAGGAGGAGGGGAAAAAAGCTAAGTTTCCTCCAAGACTGGTTACAACTTTTTCTTTAACGTTAAAATTAAGAGTTGAGGGTTTCTCGGAATGCTTGCCTTTTAAGGCTGCTGAGGGCCTTGTGCTTGCCCTCAGACTGGGTCCGGACAGGAAGGAAGGAAGCAAGCAAACAAGCAATATCCGGAGGGGGAGAGGAAGGGAAGGGAAGGGAGGGGAGAGGAAGGGAAGGGAAGGGAGGGGAGAGGAAGGGATGGGAGGAAGGAAGAAGGAAGGAAGGAAGGGAGGGAGGGGAGGGAAGGGAAGGGAGGAAGGAAGAAGGAAGGAAGGAAGGGAGGGAGGGGAGAGGAAGGGAAGGGAGGAAGGAAGAAGGATGGAAGGAAGGGAGGGAGGGAAGGAGGGGAGGGAAGGGAAGGAGGGAGGAAAGGAAGGATGGGAAGGAAAGAAAAAACTGGTGGCAGGGGAGGAGCCTGTACTTCGGGGTTTGAAGTCAGAAGCACAGTTTAAAAGTCTTAGGATTCGGATTCCGCTAAGTGTTTCCTCCAATCCTAGGGGAATATTCTTCAATGCTTAACTATGTGTCCAGATTAAAACAACAACAACAACAACAACAACTAGAAATTAAGAGAAGTAAGCATTTTTTAACCTGAAATTCAAACTAAACTCCCTCAGGGAGCCTTGCAATGGGCAAAGGTCTGGTTGGAAAACTTTCCTCCCATCCCTTTTCTGCAGGACTTAAGTTTTCCTAATCCTCTCCCTTTTCCACGCTTATCTCTCTTTAAAATGCCCAAGGATCCATCAGTCTGGCCCTTTTGTGGGTGAGGAGCCTGGGTCTCTTGAGCCTCCTTGGAGAAGGACCACACTCAAATTATAGATACTTAAAAAAAAAAAAACAACTCACTTCAATTTCTCAAAACGACTACTCTGAGGGCATACTGATAAATCTTTATTGACAAAATATTGACATTGACATACTTCTTGGAAGTATATAGTGTGTTAGAATTCTAACAAATTAACACAAAACACAAAAATATTTACATTCTGGTATAGAAGACATTAAGGAAGCATTTGTCACTCTCTTTAGTAAGTCTATGATCTTGGAATAGAAACTCAGTGCTTGAAAACTTGCCGCCATGTCCTTGGCCACACTTAACATCCTCCCCGCTAACTACAGTCCTTTAGTTTTTGCAACAGATAGATTTAAAGTTTGGGAATGGCCTTTACAGCGAATGGTTGAATCTGGCCAACCTCTCCAACCACCAAAAGGAGTTTACTTCGGGGTTTTAAGCCTTCGGGATGTTAGGAAAGGGAATGTTCAAGAAATAGAATTAATTTAGGGTTTTTTTGTTTTTTGTTTTTTGTTTTTCCCAGCACAAGTCCTGACTCCTCTTGTGGGCACCCTCCCCCACCACCCCCAGCCCCCCATCCTGCTCCCCATTTCTCCGTAAGAGGACCACTATTGCGGAGCCTACTTCATTTACCTTTCACAATCACTTTGACATCAGAAGGTATCAAGAAGTGTTTACATACTGCACATTTCTCGAAAAAAAAATAAAAATAAAAAGCACACAGAACCTGTCTTTCAAAGGAAAAGAAAATTACAGTTCATTTTCTGTCTTTAGACACCATTCGCCCAACAACTGCAACATGCAATTCAAGTTTTTGAACAGGTGTGGGTTGGGGCTAGATACGGAATTTCGATTGCTAGTATTACTAATTATTTTTTAAAGATTGGTGGGGGGGAGACTCTGCGAAGTGCAAAAGAAAAAGTCCTGTGCCTGGTTGGGGTTTTCTTTTACCATCATTATTATTACCATTATTATTTTTTTTTTTTTAAATCAGGACTGCGATAAATGGAATACCTGCCAATCATCTTGTCTCGCTGGGCTGGCGTTTGACTGACAGCTTCCCTTGTTCAGAGCGCCTTCCACGGTGACACATTTGGATCTCTCTCCCTCTCACTCTCTCTCTCTCTCTCTCACTCTTTTTCTCTCTCTCGCTCTCTCTCTCTCAGCTGCCTCTTTAGACAAGGGGTGCCTGTTGATCAAGAAGCCTGCGTCCTCTGCCATCTCCGTGCAGCCTGGGATCAGGACCCCGCGCCCTTGCTGCCCAAAGTCCGCGAAGCTCCGTCACTCTCTCTGACTCCCTCTTCCTCTTCTCGGTGACTGTGTGTGCGTGTGTGTGCGGTTTGTTTTTGTTTTGTAGCTTGTTTTTGTTTTTCTTCTACCCCTCCTCTCCCTGTCTGTTTTGCTCCGTGGTGTCCGTTTCTGTGGGGTTCGGTTTGTGTTTTTAATCGTCTGAGGTCACGTCTATTTCCTCGGGACTCGCCTGCTTGGTGGCAATTCTCCACCGGTTAATATGGTGCGTCCCTTTTTTCTTTTGTTGCGAATCTGAGCCTTCTTCCTCCAGCTTCTGTCTTTTGAACTTCGTCCTTCGGTTCTGAAACCATACTTTTACCTGTGGACAAGAGGCGGATGGGGCATGTTAGTCCCTCCACAGCGCCCTCCTATTGCTTCCTCCTCCAGGCGGTGCCTTCAAGAGAGCCCAGTCCCCCAGCGGCACACCAAAAGGGCTGGGCTCCCCCAGGCCTCCCTTCTGGGGGCCAAGCTCCTAGTGCTGTCAGCTAGGAAGCCTGGCTCCCTACCCTTCTGGGCCCTGGTGGGATGTTTCCCCCAGACCAGGTGGCCCAGAGGGCACAGTGCCCCTGCCCCGCCTGGCCCTGGAAGGGACACCCACCTCCTGCTGAGAGCAAAAGCCTTGCAAACCCTGGAAAACCCCTACAACAATCATAAGTAAAGTAAAGTAAAAAGAGACAAGTCCCTGACTCCCTTTACCTCGCCAGTGGAGGGAAGACCTTACTGCCTTCGGCTGCGGCAGCTTTCTGGTGCAAGGCCCAATGTGCTTTCTATTTTGTCTGTTTCCGCAGCCTTGCCTAAATATAGCGCCGCCTCTGCCAGGCCTCGGCCCTGGGTAGGCAGTCAGGATCTGCCTGAGCTTCCTCTTCCTCGCCCAGGACTCTTGCAGGTGAGCAAGAGTTGGGGGGCGGGGGAGTACTGGAGGAAGCCTGCGGGATGGTAGGACGCCGAGGCCTGGGGACCAGCCCAACTGTACCTTTCCAGCTGGGAAATGAAGCTCAAAAGTGAAAGCTTCTGAAAGAACCGTGGGATAAAGAGGAAGTGAGAGAGAAACTAGGAAAGAGGAAATAAGAGTGGAGCTCCCTCCCTTCCCTCCTTCGGACCAGCCCCAGGACCCACCAGGCCCAAGCTCACACGCTGGTCACATCATTTCCCATCAGAGCTGGACTGGAGGCCTCATCTCCCCAGAGCAGCTGCTAGAGGTCCAGGGAGCAATGATGTGGGGCTGGGCTGCCATCCCCATCATCCCCTGGGGGTGCTGGGCAGTGGGTCCCCATTCAGCCACCATAGGAGACACCAACACTGTCCCAGCTTCTCAGCAGTGCAGTACAGTGAGGGAAATGCGGGTGACAGCACCTCCCCTGTCCCCAGGCCTGTCCCTTCCTGAAAGCAGCAGCCCAGGCCCCTGAAGCCCTCCCCACTCCCTCCTTTTCTAAGGCCGGCCCAGGTCCCGGCTTGCTCTCCCCAATGCCCCAGTCCCCCAAAGTGCCCCACGAAAAAGCCGAGCTGGAACAAGGCTGAGTTTAATTTGCTTTGAGTTTGCTAATTGAGGGGGAGGACGGTTCATTTCTCCCCGGCGCTCGCCCAAGGCGCGCGTCGGTGCGCTCGGGGCTTGACACGCACACAAAGACTCCAGGCAGCGTGGGCAGCGAGGCGGACAAAGACCACCGCGGCCTCGGCTATCCAGGAGAAATCAGCCGGGCCGCGCCTTGTGTCGGGCCCCGCACCAACCTGCGAAGCCCTCCTCAGTTTTGTCCGGGGGGACGTTTTAAAACAAAAGCCTCGACCTCTTTGCGCCTCCCAGAAAAAGTGTTACAACTTAATCTGCCCCAAAACGTTACTGTTCGCCGGGAACTTTGACCCCGCCCTGTGGCTCTGCGTACAGTAGCGCCTACTGTAGCCCTAAGCCTCCTCCCCGACCCCAGCAAGCCGGAGCCAGACCCGCCTCCAGAGCCCTGCTGCGCCGCAGGGGTCTGTCCTCCGAGGCAGCCCTTCCCTGCAGCCTTCCAGCTCTGCTTTGCTGATTTAGGGACGCACCTAGGATGTCTAGCCTCTCAGCCTTCTGATTCTCTGATCCCCTCAAGGGAAGTAACTAGAGCCGTCAGTGTGAACCTTGGGTCTGCCGTGGCACAGAACTCCAGTTTAACCACTCCCAGACATCTCCAGACTCGAGCCTCGAGCATCCAACACCTTGCCCCTCACCCTTCTGTGCTCTCCTTCTCCACGCACCCAGCCCTGAGTCCCCAGACTCTAACCGAAAGACTCACCAAAAGCGCACAGGTGTCTTAACCAGGAACTCTAGGTCATGCCCAGCCGGACAGGAGGGAGCTACTCAGCAGGTCTCCCCAGAGCCTAGGGTGGGTGGGCTCCTACAATCCCTTGCTGGAACCCAAGGAAGCCAAGCACCTCTTAACTGATTCATTCTGAACCCAAGCGTGGAACCGGCTCCCGGGCTCTTTGCCAAAGGCCCTCTCGGAGCTCCGCACTTGCGTGCCGCCTGCACGGGGCCAGAGATGTGGGATGGGATCGCGGGGCGCAAGCGGTCCTCACCTGAGTTTCCGTGAGGCTGAGGCTGTGCGCCAGCTGCTTCCTCTCAGCGCCCACCACGTAGTGGTTCTTCTCAAAGGCGTGTTCCAGCCTCAGAAGCTGGGACGGGGAAAAGGCGGTTCGGATCCGCTTCGGCTTTCGGGCCAGCGCGTTGTGCAAAAGGAAGCTCTCCGGGCTTGTGTCGTTCCCTGCCAGGGACATAGCAGAAGTCCCGTTAGAGGAGACCGCTCTGGCCGGCCGGGGCCTCTCGCTTCTCCCGAGCCGGGCTGCCGGGGCTCATCGCTCATGGCCTTCGCGCTGCCTGTGCGGCTGGGCCGGTGGGAACCCGGGGCCCTCCGGAGGTGGGCGAAGAGGACGCCGGCCCGGCCCAGCTGTCTGCCGCGGAACTCGGAGCCTGTACCTGTGCAGCACCCACCCAGGCGCTGCCCGGGCGGGACAAGTCCCCAAGCTTCTGACCTCGGCGGGCTTCGCTCCGTCCTGGAGCCACCCCCTCGCCCGGGCGCCCGGGGCAGAGGGGCAGCAGAGCCAGGCCCCGGGATTGGCGCCCAAGATCCAGAGAAACTTTCTCTTTTTTCTGACCTCAGGGAACATTAACCCCCGGGCTGGAGAGGCGGCGGGCCGCTACGCAGAGTTTTCTCGGGAACTTCATTTTGTATTGTCTCTTCCCCTCCGGGAAAGTACAGAGGCTGGGCGTGTGGTTGCGGCCCAGCCGGGGCTGAAATTTCGCCGGCGGGTGCGCAGGGTTTTCGCAGCCATTGCCTCCCGAGGACCCGGCTTCCGCACTGCCCCGCTCCAGAGAACTACAAGACGGGAGCGAAGGGATCGAAACCCAGGGGTTGCCGAGTTGCGGGCGCCCTATGGGGCTGTCCGCGGTCCCAGAAGATCCCGGCTACTTCGGGCCTGGTGGGGGCACCAAGGGTGTAGCCGGCAGAGAATGAGGAAAGGAGCCATAAACTTTGTGAGCAAAGCCAGAATAGTTTCGGGTTCACTCAGGAGGGTGGGAAATCGATTCACTAAAAACCCAAACAAAGAAAGACAAACCGAGTGTTTAGGAGAGAGTGGAGGCAAATCCGGTCCCGGAATTAGGATGAAAGGCTGTTTTTGTATTGTTTTGTTTGTAATTGGGGAGGGTGGTGGTATCTACCGGATTTTAGGTTCTGATAGGAACGCAAAGGGTTAATGAATGGACAAGCCGCTGAGTATTGATCGGCTGTCGCGGGAGATAGGTCTTTTCCCCCAAGCTCCGACCACTAAACTAATTATTCGTCCCCTTTTCTGGAGTTTTAACTTTCTTCCTACCCCCACTCAGAGAAAAAAAAGCAAACACATTTTTTTTTTAAATGGCAAGGGAAAACACTTAGATCTTTTCGTCCAGCCCGTCTCCCGATAGGGTTCATTTCTTTTAAAAGAAAAACAAAAACAAATCAAAAACAAAACAAAAACCAGACAGAACCTGCCTTCCCGCCGCGGACACTCTGCCCCCATTCGAGCAGGTCTCAGCGAGCGTGCCGAGCCTCGGAGGTTACTACCCGCGAGGGTTCCAGGCCCCTCCCCAGGCCTCCAAAAAAAGGGAAAACAAACCCCTAGGCTACGCTCTGGGGACGCGAGGGTCTCCTCGCCGCCCGAAGAGGGTCGTAAACTGAGAAGTCGCGGGGCTAGGCTTGAAGGGACGAAGAGTGGGTGGCGAACAGCGTCTTATGCAAAGGCGAACCTGGTGGCCTGGCCGTGGCCGTGGCCCCTCGGAGCTAGGGCAACCAGGGCACCGCGGAGGAGACGGAGAGCCTGGGTACCCCGCGGGCTCCGGGACTCCTTGGCGGCCGGCGCTCAGAGAAGGCTGTCCCAGCCTGTCTCCACCCAGGAGCGTTCGGGGACAACTTCTCCCTTTGCGCCCCTCTTTAAGGGGTCCAGCGGCCCCAAGCCAGCCCCCAAAGCGGCCGCAGCTTCAAAGACTGGGGACCAGCACCATGCCCGGCCCCTCGCCGCCCAGTTTCCGAACGGGGCTCGCGGGCCCGCGAGCCGGAGGAACCTCCTCGCAGGCCTTGCCAACGCCCACCCGGCGCGCAGGCCGAGGGCAGTGCGGGACGCGGTGCGCTGCAGCCCCGCGACGTGGCACGTACCTTGGAAGCGGTGGCCCAGATATCGGTAGCGGTGGATGAGCCAGGGGTAGAAGGTGGATGGGTCCCGCTGCTGCGAGGCGAAGAGGGGGTGTGGCGAGTGCGAGGAGGGCAGGGGGTGGGCGGCCAGGGCGTGCGGCGGCGGCACCGGGTGCACTGGCACCGCGGGGTTGGGCGGGTGCGAGACCGCCTCGGCGAACACCAAGTCCGGGTTGGAGTAGACGCCCCTGCCGGCAGCGGCGGCAGCGGCGGCCGAGTGGAAGCCGTTGAGGAACGGGTTTATGGGGCTGGAGTTGGCGTAGCTGAGCGCCGCGGGACGGATGGGGTCCTCAGAGCGCGAGGCGGGCAGGGGACTGTCCTTGGCCACCAGCGACTCGATGGTGAAGCAGCGCTTGGGCGCCGGCTGGAACATGCTGCGCCGAGGAGCGGGCACCCGAGGCTCCCGGCTCCCGGCGACCGCGGCACGCTGCCTCCGCCGCCCGCAGCCCGCGGCGAGGACGGACGAGAATTGGGGACTTGTTTGTTTGGGGTGGGGGTGGGGGGAGGAAAGGAAGAAAGAAAGGAAAGGAAAAGGAAAGGAGGGGGGAGGGGGGAGGGAGAGACAACGCCGAGGATCCCGAGAATCTTGCGCCAAACGCGCCCAACCTGGAGAGAGGGGGAAAAATCCTTCCAGAAGAATTTGCAGGCGTGGATTGGGGTAATTTTTTTTCTTTTTTTTTTTTCTTTTTTTTTTTTTTTTTTTTTTTTTTTTGGCGAGATGGCGTGGGGGGATCGGAGTTAGAGGCGGGGGGGGGGAGGTTTCTCGGGGGAGGCAAAAAAAAGTTTTCTCTTCTCTGCAAAAGGCGGGCAGGGCGCCCTAAGTCCAAGGACAATCCATGGAAGTGTTCGCTTCTTCACAAGTTGTGCAAACGATTTGTTAGTTCATGAGCCTAATTAGTGCGGGGATCACATAAACAGCTTCCTCCGAAGCCTGGTAAATGGCTTGATGATTGGTCGCTATTACTCGCCCTGAGGTGGAAGGGGGGAGACTCTTTAAAGTGCGTCAGAGGGAGGCGAGCGCCTGGGAACCCGGAGGCCTGGATCCCGGCCGAGTGTGGAACGGAGTCGGCGCCGCGGCCTCGGCCGAGCCTCCTGCGCCCGCCCGGCCGCTGGCCTCGCCGCGCCTTCGCCCCGCGCTCCTAGCTCCTTCGCTCCCGCGTCGCCCGCTGCGGCTTCTCCTCCTCCTCTTTCGCCTCCTCCTCTTCCTTCGGCCTCCTTTCCTCCTCCTTCTCCTCCTCCTCCTCTTCTTCCTCCTCCTCCTCTTCCTCCTTCTTCTCCTCCTCCTCTTCTTCTTCCTCCTCCTCTTTCCCCACCTCCTCCCCCTCTGCCACCGCCTCCTCCTTCACCACCACCACTCCCTCCGGGGCACCCCGGTCCCTGCAGAGTCCCCGGCCCGCGCCGCCTCTGCTGCGGCCCCCCGCATCCCGAGCTGGAGGGACAGAAGGACAGACGGACGCGCAGATCCCTCGCGCCTAGCTCTCGGCCGCCGCTGCCCCCCGTGGCCCTGCGTCCGGGAAGCTGGGATCGCCCCCGGAGCACGGCGAGGGTAAGTAGATTCCGGGCGAGGGCTAACGGAGCCGCTAGGTTTCTTCAGTCCCCCCCCCCCACCCGGCAGAACTCCCGGCGGTTTCCCAGGTGAGGATGGAGCCTGGGCTGGAGTTTGGGGGTGGGGGTGGGGGTGGGTGGTCATCCAACCACGCATAGCGTCGAGGTCCCAGGGTTGCTGCATTCGCGATTCTTGGCCCTGTTTGTTCGTTTGCAAGTTGAGGCACGAGTAAACGACCCTGCCCGGGCCACGGGCTTCCCACCAGACCCACAGGCTCCGGGCTTTTTCTCTCTGGGAGGGCGCTCACCTCCTTCCCCCAAACTGTTCCTAAGGGTAGAATCTGGGACAAGAGGTGTCCAAGGTCAGGGGAAAGGTAGACGTGGTGTTCCTATTACCTATTACCGTTACACTGTCCTTAAGACTTGCGTTAATTTTGTTATTATTATTGTTGTTTTGTTGTTGTTGTTGCTGTTGTTGTTTTATTATTATTATTTCTATTATTATTCCGCCATCTGTCGTCCCAGGGGCGGGCTGCTGTGCAGGGCTTGCAACTAGGGACTGCAGATCACGTCTCCGGTCCCAGGCCGTGTCCGCATTTTCGAGCTCGCCTTCGGTTTTGGGATGATTTTAGGGCCGAGTTCCCTCGTCCCTATTGGCTCACGCAGCGGCATAATTATGATCACGTCCCCCAGGCTGCTGGCGCAGCTCTCTGTTTATTGGTGGTTAAAGATCTATTATCTATTCATCAGCCGCTTCTTTTTTCCTTTTTTTTTCTTCTTGCCAATTGCATTCTTCTAAAGTGAAGTACCAGCAGGTATTTTGCACGTTTACAATTAATGAGGGAAAAAATCTGCCATCCTTTAAATCTATTACTTAGAGGTCCATGCCATTTCTCTTAAGGAGGAAGAAATGCCTGTGTTTGGTGACTAGGTTGCCGTGAGACCCGAGAAAAGTCGATTGGGAGGGGGGAGAAGAGTGAAGTCTGAGAGCCGGACTGCTTCCCCCACTAGCTTCATCAGTGGAAGGTCTGGTCTTTGGACATACGCCCCTGCTTGCCCAACTGCCCACCTTCTTGCCCTGGGGGTCTCCCCTGACTGTCTCTGGTTTCATCTGATGTATTTTTCTGTTCACATCAATTTCTCAACTTCTTTATTCCAGGCATAATTTGTTTGGGGGTGGGGAGGAGAAACCCTTTAGGAAAAGCCTCCAGGCAAGAAAGCTTAGAAATGTGTTTTCTGGGGGTGTCTGGGCACCTGACCCTAGCTAACAGAGATCATCTGAGCTGCACACCGCCCCCCTTAACTTTTCCAGAGTGTGCACACCTATACACATTCACACACAAGACAGGTGTGGGCCTTGGCTTTGCCGTCATGCCCTGAGAAACCTGACCCTGTCAAGCTTCAGACCTCTGACGCCAGCTCTGGGCTTGGATGGTGGCTGGGTTTTCACCCTTCCCAGGGTCTTGTGGTCTTGCTTTGCAGCCTTCCCCCCCTCTCCCCATGTTTTCTCCCAGGCCTAAGGATGCAGGGTGTTTAGTCCAGCCTCTTGTAGTGGGGTGCCTTTAGAGATGTACCTCCCAGTGGCCTGAACCGCTGACTTCCAGAAATACTGACTCCTGTTCAGAAATACCTCCCTCCATTAAGCTGTAGGGACACAAGCCCCATGGTACCCAGGCTGGCAGGGAACCTGAGGCCACCCGGTAAGGGGGTTGACTGTTGCTTGTCGGCAAGCCTGGGGAGGAGGTGGAGGTCAGACCTTCATTTCCAAAGCCAAAAAGAAGCACCCAATTTAAGTGGGCTTAGATCATGGATCCTGGAACCAGAGGGAAAGGTTCTTCTCCTTGAAAGGCTTCTCCAGGAAGGATGGAGGGTCAAAACTAGGGGTACTAGAAGCCCTGCCCTGGCTGTAGGGTGGGGAATGACTATTTATTTACCGGTATGAGTGATCTTGCCCGGGGGCATGAGAGCAGATGACCTTGAGGGCAAAGGAGATCCAGTTAGTGTCTGGGAGGTGGAGTGAAGCCCGCCATGGTGTCTAAAACGTTAAGGGAGTTCAACCTTTTTTAAAAGTCAGAGGCTGGGCGCTAAAGTGTTGTTGGTACGCCCTTAAATCCTTTCCTACCTTTGGCTGGGAGTGTCCAGAGTGCCCAAAGGGGTGAGCAGCAGTCTGGAGCCCAGATCCTCTCCTCTTCCTGACAGAGGCCGGAAAGTCTGGCCGGGGCAAAGGGCCCAGATTGCTCAGAGCCTTGTCTCCCTTCCTGCAAGATCGTCTGCAGCCCATCCGCCTCTTGCAAAGTGCCTGGAGGTTGGCTCCGGGTCCCTTGTGGCTGGCAGGTGGGCAAGGATGAGGGATCGCCAGGGTCGGTTTCCTCTGCCCCGAGTGCTGCCAGCCCCAAGTCTCGCTCAGGCCCACAAGAGAGAGAAACGGGCTTGGGCCACGCAGAAGCTCTGGAAGCCAGATAATCTATGCTAATTCATGCAGCCAGGGACCTGAGGAACTCAGAAAGGTTCGAACTGAGCCCCTACGTGTGGGAGAATTAACTAGGACAGTAACTCATTAACCAGACTGGTGGTGGGTGAGGCTCTGGGTACTGGGCACTCTGGTCTGGACTCAGACCCTGGGCCAACTCTACCCCTGCTCCTTGTGCCTCAGAGCTGCCCCTCACTTTATTTGTGGCTTAGGCCTTTGCAGAATCTGGCCCCTCTTTGTTCCCGAGCTGCCCTAGAAGGATGGGTATTTAGTTAAATAGGGGAGCAGGCAGTGAGCTGTGAGGGGGTTTCTGAAGCTCCATCTTACAGCAAAGGGCTCTCCCTCCTACACACCCCAAATCACCTCAAGTTGGGGGCTCTGTAGGTTCAGGAATCTGCACTGAGCAGGCAGCTGGCCTCGCAGACCCAAGATGAAGGTTTGAATCTGGGATCTGTCATTTACTGGCTGAGCGATCTTAGGCAAACACCACAACCTCTCCCCGCCTCATCTTGTCATTTGTAAAAATCTGGCCAATGCTGCCCATGAGGCAGTGGAGGGCAGAAGTCAGGCCTGTTTTTGAGGAGTGATAGAACTCTTCTGTTTCTTGGTTATGGCAGTAATTACACCTCTCTGAGCGTTTTTCCAAACTCACAGAACCGTACACTAAGACGGGTGAATTTCACTGTATATTCTATGGTAATGAACCTGCCCCACCCAAAAAATGCCAGTCAGATCTGAGTGACCTTGAGCAAATTGCCTGACCTCTCCGTGCCTTTCTCTTCTGTGAACTGGAGATAAGTAATAGTATCCTGGCCCTTGGGGTTGTTTAAGGAGACAAGCCAAGCAAAGTGCTTAGACTGTCATTAGCACGTAATGAACTGTGATAAAAGTTAGCTCCTGTCCCCGATGTTCTGTTGTTATTACCTGCCCACTTCCAGGGCTCATTGCTGGGCTTCAAAACTGAACAACATAGTAGTGCAAAAGTAAGCTATTGCTTGTCTCACAGTCCGCCACTAGCTTCTCCGGGCTCCCACCAAAGGCCCAGGACTTCCTGGGCAGGTGCTGAGGGGAGAGAAGCATGGATTCCTGGCTAGTGGGAGGCATCAAAGGGCAGAAATGTGGCGGGATCTCTCATAACTCTCTGCTCTGAGTTTCCTGCCTGGGGCACATTCATCACCTCCTGCAACTCCGGATAGATGCCCAGGCGCTCCCTGGGTTCACTACCTTTGCCACCACCTTCTTGAGTCTCAGTTTTCTTATCGGTGAAAAAGAAATATCAATATCTTAACGGTTGTTGAGAGCAGCAAGTGAGCTAATGTTTGGCATAGTTCCCGTTCATCAAATATTACAGTGGTCCCGGTTCCCTGGTGCACTCCGCCACATCCAGCACCCTTCC